CAAGCCATCCAACCAGAAGCAACCAACCAACGAGGGTGGGGTTTCTATTCACAGCTTTTTGTTGTTACCAAAAGTTTGGGGGGGTGGAGAGCAATATTAGATCTGAAATGTCTCAACCGTTTCTTAGTATATCTCAAGTTTAAAATGCACACCCTGCAGTCTATGTTACTTGGCATCAGAAAAGGTGACGTCCTTACGTCTATAGATCTGACGGAGGTGTATTTACATATTGCTTTTCGGCCTTCCCACTATAAATTTTTGAGATTCTGTTATAATAACCACCATTTTGAATATGTGGCCCTTCCTTTCGGACTAGCTTCTGGCCCCAGGACCTTCACAAAGGTTCTTGCAGCTCTAGCTGCTCATCTCTATGATATCCTTGTACGACTCCAGTGTTACCTTGATGACATCTTAATTTTGTCATCTTCCAATCATCAAGCAGTCAGAAATACTCAGAACACATTACAATCCCTACAACAACATGGGTTCTCAATAAATTGGAAAAAAAATCATTTAACACCATCGACTCAATCCATCTGAAGGCAGTCATAGATACAGTGGAAGGCAAAGTTTTCCTGTCACCAGATAGACAAAACAGCATTCAGCAATTAGTTCAGGAGATCAGGGGTCTTAAGAAGGTGTCCCTAGCTGAACTATCAAAATTGTTAGGCAAGATGATCTCATGTATATCTATCATCCCTTGGGCCCGGCTCCGTACTAGATCCCTCCAGTGGTTCCTGCTCCCGTACCAGCGCTCTGGCCGAAGCAACTCCAAATACAAGGTCAAGGTACCATCACAGGTCCTCATATCTCTCCTCTGATGGACCAGACCAGTCATCAACAGAGGTTGCCTCTTCAAAGAGCCACACAGACTTACCATCACCACCGATGCCAGCCTGTTTGGATGGGGAGCTCACTTTCAATCGCTCACAGCCCAAGGCCACTGGTCCACCATAGAACAGTCATGCAGCATAAACTGGCTGGAGCTTCAAGCAGTACACCTAGCTTTCCGCAGCTTCCTTCCACAGGTACGCAACCAACATGTACTAATATTGACCAACAACGTAACAGCCAAAGCTCACATAAACAAACAGGGGCACACAGTCGAAACACCTCATTCAGGAAGTGGAGCGCTTGTGTCGTTGGGCGGAGAGCAACTGACTTGCCATCAGAGCAGAACACATTTGGGGCCTGTCGAATACACTGGCAGACTGGCTAAGCAGGGCCACGATCGATCATTTAGAATGGCACCTCCATCCGACCCTGTTTCAAGAGGTGGTCAGGAGACTCGGGCAGCCGGTGGCAGACTTGTTCGCTTCCCCCCTCAACTCTCAGCTCCCCAGATTCATTTCCATGAATCAGAGTGGAGAACTTCAACGCACTCCGCTGCCGTTGGCCCCAGGGTCTTCTGTACGCATTCCCACCACTTCCTCTGATCCCCAAGGTCATCCAGAAGCTGCTGAACGAGAGGGCGGAGCTTCTGCTAATAGCTCCTTACTGGCCCAGATGGCCGTGGTTTGCAGACCTCCACAGTCTATCCTTATCAACACCATGGAGAATTCTTCCGGACAGGGTTTTGCTAACCCAGGGACCCTTTCAACATCCAGACCCTCAATGGTTGCACCTGACCTCTGGAGGTTGAGTGGAGATGTCTGAAGAGCTAAAAGTTTTCCAACAGTTATCACCACCATCCAAGCTGCCAGATGCCCCTCAACAACCCGCATTTACAATGCCACGTGGTCCAGTTTCTGCAAATGGTGTACTAAGTCTCAAACTGATCCCATCTATCCATCAGTGGCTCAAATCCTACAGCTTCTACAAGAGGGGCTTGACAAGGGATTATCACCTAATACGTTGAAAAGGCAGGTGGCAGCCTTGGCATCGGTTGTCACTTGTGAGGGTCTACTGTCTCTTTCTCATCACCCACGCATATGGAGTTTCCTTCGAGGAGCCATAAATTTACACCCGCCAACAGTTCACCGTTATCCCACTTGGGACCTTAACAAGGTCCTCATTGCACTCACTAAGTACCCTTTCAAACTTTTGAAAACGTCAAGTCTCCAATTTCTGACGTATAAAGTAGTTTTCCTTGTAGCGATCACTTCCGCTCATCGTATTTCGGAACTGGCAGCTTTGTCGATCAGAAAAGACCTTTGTGTCTTCCATTCTGACCGAGTGGTCCTTTGTCCTGATCCTACGTTCATACCCAAAATTAATTTGGCTTTTCACAGGGCACAAGAGCTGATACTTCCAAACTTTTGTCCCAGGCCATCTCAAAGGTTGGAACTACAATGGCATCGGATTGATGTGAGGCGAGCATTGCAAATATATATTAACCGCACAGCGACTTTCAGAAAAACGGAAGCTTTATTTGTATCGTTTCAGCCAAACATTCAGGGATGCAAGGTCTCATCTTCCACAATAGGCCATTGGCTACGGGCTGCAATAGCGAAAACGTATCAGATTCAGTCACTACAGATCCCCAGGGGCATAACAGCTCATTCAACAAGGCGTGCCGCAACATTGGCAGCATGGGCCACACAGGCACCAATAATTGAAATTTGTCGAGCCGCAACCTGGGTCTCTCCATTGTCCTTCATTAGGCATTATAAAATAGATGTGTTTGCATCCGCTGAGGCCTCCTTTGGCAGAAGAGTTCTGCAATGGGTCCACAGGGACCATGGGGGGATTCAAAGCCAGATGGAGTCCCTCCCATAGGACAGGCCAAGCTTTGGTATGTCCCACTACTGGATGCTCTGAACAGCTCATGGGAGAAGGGCGTTGGTACTTACCTGACACGCACGTTCTCTTTGAGCTGTGAAGAGCATCCAGCCCCACGTTTTTTTCCATCTGGTGGGGTCCCATTTCGGCCAACGAATCATCAGCGTTGAGGGCGAGGGTGTTTATTCTCTTGTCTTCTCCAAAATTGGGAAACGCTGGGGATGAGTCCTGTGGAGGAGGAGGAGCGTTCCAGAAATTAAGCCCAGCCTAGACGTGCAGAGACTGAAGCACCTCCCACTACTGGATGCTCTTCACAGCTCAAAGAGAACGGGCGTATCAGGTAAGTACCAACGCCCTTTCTGGAGAGCCGGTAGTGGAAATTTTGAGTAGTTCGAAGAACCAGCAAATACCACCTCTGACTGGAGATTTCACAGTATCCTTCCCCTGCCACGCCCACCAAGCCATGCCTACAGAACCAGTAGTAGAAAAATTTGAATCCCACCACTGCTGCAAAGTTGCTTTTACTTCATCCTTGCTGTTTTCCATTCTCTGATAAACATTAGAGGGTTTCATTCATTTTATCACATCCCAGAAATATCAAATCCAATTAAAAAATGTTTATTCTCTGTCTGCCCACTCCATGTGTCTATTTGAGTGTGGTTATGAAACTTAAGCATAGCTAACTCTCTCTAGGGTTTGCGCCCTTCCAATATCCTTATAGACATATTTGTGACATAACAGTTTTCTTTTAATGGATCTGAACTTTGCTGAGGCATTGAAAGTTATGTTTAGATTTTGTATCAAGCCTGAATAAAAGGTTAAGATGAAACTCCATTTTCTAGATTGTATGTAGAAGAACCCTAGCTTTGTTTTAGTTGTACTCAGTGTAAAAAGAAATTAAAAATATTGGTGTTTTCTACTGAAACTTTTACCTAGTTGTATAAAAAAAAATAGCAATTTTCCAAAACAGAAATTCCTGTTTCATTTACCTAAACATCTTTCAGTTTTTTTAAATAGGAAAATTCATTTCAATAAAGTGTTGTTTCTGGTTTCTCTCCCGTTTATCTTTGGTTTGCTCATTTAAAAAAAAAACTTTTTATTCATTTTTTTTCTTAACATAAAATGCAAATGGGGAAAAATGAAGGGGGTTACAGTGAAGGGAAGGCAAAGAAGTCAAAAAGCAGTGGCTTCCAATTTTTTTGATGCAGTAAATTGTACCACAAGATAATAACCTCAGCTTTTTACTTATATAAAGACAGTAAATACTAGTTAATCTGTAATAACATCATATCTAATCATCAAAACAACAAATCAAAATTTATCTCCCAAAAGTCCAGAAGTGGTTTCCAAGTGGAAACAGAACTAGCTACATTGGTTTCCCTAATTAATGTGGTTAACTTGGAGATCTTTGCCAATTCCGTCATTTTTTCAATTCATTCTTCCATTATGGAACCTAATGGTTTTTTTTCCCATTTTTGAGCGTATAAAATTCTTGCTGCAATCAGCGTATATAATAAAGTTCCAATCCCCCCCATTCTTTATCCAATAATCTTAAAAGAAAAAGTTCTGGTTTCCATTGTATATACTTACTGGTTTCCAATCCATTGTATATATGTAACTATGTATATTGTATATACATAGTTGTACATACACTTACATTCAGATATTTGGGTGGGATGCGTGAGCCTGTTGGTTGGCCAAGTGAATATGTATTCAAAAAAATCTAGAGATTTCATTTACAAGTGTAAAACTTCATTAGATCAAAATCGATCAGTAATCATTCATCTTAGCTAAATTAGGTGTGTTCACTTGGACACTACAGGTAGTTTTCAAGTTACGATTGTAATTGAACTCTGCAATTACAGTCATAAGTCATAATGGACGAGCAGGTCACCACATAACTGGACCTTGGTTTATAACCTTTTTTGTGACACACATTAAGCATCATAGCAGCCATGAAGCAAAGCCATTGCTTGCTGTGCGGTATTTTTTGTCATAAATGCGAGCCAGTTACCAATTGCCTAAAATATGATCATAAGCTCCTTTTTGTGTTGTCATAATTTTAAATGGTTGCTTAGCAATCAATTATAAATCAAAAGACTATCTGTATATAAATGCCTTTTTTTCTATTTGAGACACTTATTTGGAATTAAGTGGGTTCAAGTTTCCTTCTGGCAGAATCTTTGGATTCAAACCCACAATTGCAATTCTTAATAATGATTCTGAGCTTGTACAGAATTGGAATTAATCTGTTTACATTTTTTTTTAAATTTTCTCAGTTAGCAAAAAAAGGAATGAAAGTGGTTCTTATCAGCAGATCTCAAGAAAAACTGGATAAGACTGCCAGTGAAATAGGTGAGTATAATTCTTGTTTTTCTTGATCAATTAAAAAAAAATCTTCTGAATTGAATTTGACTCCTAGTGATTTCAAGAGGATGTTCATATAGTTTTTCTAAAAACAGATGTATTTTGCTATTGCTTTATTCCAACATTCCTTTGTTTTAGACACTGTGGAATTTTCTGGGTCTTCTTTCCCAGTACTAATCATGCATGACCATATTTAGTTTTTATGAAATCAATTCTTCATCACCAGAACGTGGAGCTGTCAAGAAAGAGCTCCTCCACTTCTTTTGGCTAGAAGGCAGGAGTTAGTCATTTACCAGTCACTGGCAGGAAGGGTGGGGCAAGAGAGCAAAGATACAGTCTAGGTTAGGTAAGTCTTTTGCTGTAGCTTCCTTCCTGCTGGTCACATCACAGAAGTTCCCCCTCCGCTCCTGATGGTGATGACTAAGTTACAGGACCAGAGACAGAAATATATTGTACTCCAGCAGACTGTGCAGTGGCTCAGGCAGCCATTAAATTTGTTTTAGATTTCTTATGTTCTGCCTTTATTATCTTTTATAGATAACTCAAGGTGACAAACATACCTAATACAGGTAGTTCTTGACTTAACAATAATTGACCTTGGAATTATGGTTGACAGTCAAGGCATCACATGGCTAGATTAAATTCTTTACATTTTGTGTGGCAGTTGTTAAGCGAATTCATTTCCCTTAATGGGCACTTTTTGCCAACAACCAGAAGTGAATGCCAGGAATCTGCAAAAAAGTTGCAAATCATGGTCATGTGACCATAGGACACCGCAAACAGCTCTAAAGTTCTGCAAAGTACTCAGAATGTGATCACATGAACCTGGGTGGCCATCCTAACTTTGAAAATGAGTAGTAAGTACCTCTAAGGAGATTTGTCATAATTTCTAATGGTCGTTAAGTTGTCCAGCTATAAGTTTAGGACTACCTGTAGCATGTTCCATTTTTATTTACAATTTTTAATTACCACATGCATTTTACAATTTAAGAAGAATCAGAGGTCCAGGTAATCCTCAACTTACGACCACAATTGAGCCCAAAAATTATGTTGTTAATGAGAAATTTGTTAAGTGAGTTTTGCCCCATTTTATGACTTTTCTTGACACATTTGTTAAGTGAATCACTGCAGTTGTTAAATTAGTAACACAATTGTTAAGTGGATTCCCCATTGACTTTGATTGTCAGAGGGTTGCAAAACGTGATCGCATGACTCTGGGACACTGCGTCTGTCATAAATGTGAGTCAGTTGTCAAGCATCCGAATGAAAATCATGTGCCTATGGGATGCTACAGTGGTCATAAGTGTGAAAAACGGTCATAACTCAATTTTTTCAGTGATGATGTAACTTTGAACAGTCACTAAAGGAACTGTTGTAAGTGGAGGACTACCTGTATTTGAATTGAAATGCTTGACTAAATTCTGTTTCTTTACAGTGATATTTCGGTGCTGTCTTACATTCTGTATGGAGGAAGAAAAGCATAGTGTAAATAAAATGATATTTGGTTACATTCTTCACAGGTAGCCCGACATAAAGCTTTTTATAGTTATCCAGTTTGGATGCCACTTCATTCTTCTCATGGCAATATTAGTTAAAACTATAGGAGTTAAAGTCCAACAAAACCTATATTTGGAAATATAGGTTTGCACAAGTGTATGGATAAGAAGCAAGATCACTTTCCTGACAAAGGCAGAATCAGCCTTAAATGACTTCAAAAAACTCAATAATGAGACCCTTTTAGACATGATTATCTGGGCTTCCATAGAAGAACTGGAAGAACTGCAAAATGGTGCATTTAACAGCTGAAAGAACAATACAACACTATTTGTACTTGATTCAGAGTAGTTGGCTTTCCTATGCACAGTATTTCTGAATTATCAGAGTGTTTTTATGTCAAAACTTTTTCTAGATGCAACTTCAAAAATCAGCTACTACAAAAAGAAATTTTGAATACATTGCTAAAACCACCATATGCATCCAAGGTTCAAAACAAAGCTTAGAGTGTATGCAGTACAATTCACGCGGGGACTTCTGGGCAGGTGTCTGCCTTTCAACAAGGCTAAAAATAGCACTTATTATCATAAGCGTGAGGAACACACTCAGACATGAGCAGCATCATGACAACCTTGTGGAAGAAGTTTAAGATGAATATAATCTTCCTCATGCTAAATCATTCCAATTTATGAACGGTTCTTTAGTAAGATTAATGTTTCCTGCAGCTCTTTTGCAGTAGTTGAAAAGATAGGGGATTTATCCCCTCTCCCTCCTTACATTGATAAATCATTGATTATAAAAACAGCTGTTTTCCAGGCAGAATGCTCCCTTTCTAGCAGATCATCTTGGGTGTCATTGAACATTTTTGATGTCATTCTAGTAGCAGAACAAAACTCCCCAGCCCTCTCATTACCATCAGTGATTTGAAAGAGTAGATGTCAGCTGCAAGCAACCAGAACCACTCATAAATAGCTTAAGTGAGAACATCTATTGTCTTTTACTTCTGTTACAAGAATTTCCCCAGATTGGTAGTCTTCCCCTGTGAAGGACCAGATAAAGCTTCATAGATCTTGGGGGAGATCAAACTTATGCTGCTTGGAGCTGCGCAGCAATTCCAGGCTGGATCCCTGCTTGATTCCTGCTTTGAGCCTAGCTGGCAGTTTGCCAACAGTAGAACAATACTGGACAAACCACAGTCTAGTGGTAGAAATTAAACATATTTAATATTAATAATTAAGCCTAGTTCCGTACTTTTCAACTGCATTATATCCTGGGCAGTATGTTTTCTATGTATTTTTAAACAATTCCTAGAATCCAATTTCTGCTTACATAAGAAAAATGTGCTGATAGTACAAAAGGCCGGGAGGGAAATGTTAATTAAGCTTGATGTTTCCAGAAGAAAAGACAGCTACTTCACATGGAAGAGCTCAGTTTTTTTTAAAAAAAACAATGTGATCTGTTTTTCCAGTACAGTAAAGTCTAAGGCGATGCCTCCCAAACTTTTTCCTTTTTTACCTAAACTCCTTACCAGAAAGTTCTTTTTCTCCAGCATTCCTATGGGAGAATCCACACATATGAGTTGAATCTGCCTTTCTGCCCAGAGACTGAGTTATCAATCTTTGCCACGCATCTTCCTGTCGGATCAGGAAGTCCCCTAGCCCCAGTCATGACTCAGTCTTGGCCTATAGAGATATGGCAAAGGTTGGGTCCAACAATTTCAGCAGAAAGCATTTTAAAGTGTAGATGTTCCTAAAGGTTTGCAAAGCTTAAAAAAAGATCGTAAACAGGAAGCAATCAGAACTTCTGCCTGTTCTGTTTCACTACTCCCCTGAACTACCAATTAAGGCCTAACAGTCCAGGCAAACAGGGAATTCAAATTTCTTAACAATCGGTTCTTGGGCATGGCCTAATTTGTGGGTGTGGCTTGGTCATGTGACTGGCTGGGCATGGCTTGTGTATAAATATTATAAATATTTATGTAAATATTGATTTTTTTATAAAAAAAGAGCAACTTTTACCCGAAAGCAGGCAAAGCAGGCAGGCAGATTGAGTTGCTCACAGAATCTCAGATTCAGAGATCTGTCTTTCTGCCATCAGCTATCTGAGTCTGTCACGTAAAATTTGCTTGCAAGCAAACTCACAAAATTAACTCATAACACACCATGTATGCAAATATTGAATTTTTTTTAATAAAAAAGACCAACATTTACCTAAAATCAGGCAAAGCAGGAAGGCAGATTGAGTTGCTCACAGAATCACAGATTCACTTAGAGATCTGTATTTCTGCCATTGTCTATCTGAGTCTGCAACTGAATAATAGAACCTTCAGTCCTAAGGGAGATTCGATTCTGCTTAAAAGCAGAGCCAAAGATCCAAAGATTAGCTAGAAATCAAGAAATTCAATGATTTCCTGCTTTCTAGCTAATCTAAATCTCCCGGCACAGCAGAACAGCTGATGGTCGGGGGAAAAAAAGGAAAAATAGCAACTTAGCAGGCAAGTTTGCCAGATAAGGAGTGAGTGGACAGGGAGGGTTCCTGCGGGCCATGTGAGCGGCACAGCCTGGATTAATTGCTTTGGGGGTTGCAATACAAGATTGAATTATAAAACTACCTTCAAACTACAGAAATAAATTATTATGTAATGCTTTCTGTTTTCATTTTATTAGATGTGATCCAAATTGTCTGCTCATACGTTGTGATTTTTTAAATCAGATTTAAATGTTAAATTGTTAATTGTTGGTCATGATTGTAAATATTGTTTTATTGGCTGTAGGCCATCTAGGGGTGGTTTTAGATTGGCAGTTATATAAATGTTGGAAGGCAGGCTTCTCCAGTCAGACTGCTTCCTGGGTATTATAGCGATATTTAACAACAAAGATGTAGACAGAAGGGATAGAAAATTGTCCCTTCTATTTATACTTTTTACATATAATTTTGCTAGGATTCTTTTTAATTATTAAAAATCTACCTACAAAGCTTGCTGTGAATGAATAGGTAGTAAGGCAGTATATCAATATTTTGCTGGTATTAATAGAACATTTAGAAATACATAGGTACATATATACAGCATGTAAAATACCTGATTAAAATGGTGGTAGTTTGGCCATTTAATTGCAGATAACATAAGAAATACAAAATTAATTTAGAGTTCTTAACTAAGAATAGTCACTCATAGTCATGTATTACTGCTGCTCTCCTCAGAGTTTGCTCTGTGAAGAGAAGAATAATCAAACTCTCATCATTACTGCCTCTTCAACTTTGTTATTTAATAGCTTGCTAACCTGGCATTGAGCAGATTATATCTGCAGGACTGTCTTCTGCCTGAGGGTAATATTGCCACCTAGCAGGACTTGGGAAGTGAAATTTTTCTATAGCCATCCCAACTGTGGGGAACCCCTTTTTTGAAATCCAGCAGGCCCCTGCCTTGTAGCCTTCCAGAACACCATAAGAACTGGCTCTTGCCACAAGTGCTATTTTTAGGGTATGATTCAGGCTCAGGGATGGTTTTGCTGACTGTGTTAGAAAAGGTTTTGGTTCTATTGGCTTTTTTTTTTCTATTGGCTTTTCTTGTTATAAGTCACATAGAGGTGTTTTTTTTTTAAGATCGGTGGCCATGTTAGTCAAATACATATATAAATCATCATCCGTCAACCAGTGTAAATGATTGTCTGAAGAGTGAGCTAAAAATGTTAGTTACATCAATTGGAAAGTTTTAATTGTATTTGCACAATATTATAGCATGACTTTTGGATAAGAGCCTTGCACATCCCTGATGACAATAAATTGGTGAGATATTTGTCTTGCCATAGGGCTACTAAACTAAGGAATCATCATCTTCCTAGCATTATTCCTACACAGGTGCAAGGTCTGTTTTTCAAATCGATGAACACCATCTTGCACGATCAAACACAGCATCTGGGTCCAACTGGGCAATGTTCATGTCTGCATTTACTGTGTCTTGCCACCTTTGCTTCAGCCGTCCCCCACATGCACTTTGCCATCTGTGTTAAAATGGAAGGCGATGCATGCAATGATATGGGGTGCTGCTCATAGGACATGGCCATACTGCTGATAATAGGGCTATTAATAGGGCTACATAATAGACCTTCTAAACTAGGGGAATACTATTGTTAAATGCCTTAATACAGCTTGTTTATTTATTGATAAAAATACAAGACTCACTTGGTTTCCTAGATTAGATTTTGAAATTTAAAAACATGTCTGTACTCTGAACTGGGTTTAACTTCTCTTTTTAATTTTTTGTTTTTAAGTTCTTTATTTCTTGTAATCCACGTTATAGGGCAAATTTAGCAGAAAGGCTAGAAACAAGCTAGTATTAATATAAGTAATATATGAAACATTTAGTCTTCATTTACATTCCATAAATACCACATAAGTGCATTCTGCTGATAGCCTTTAACACACTGAATCATAGTTAGACACCAAATTGTATCTCTGTAATTAAAACCATCTCCTGTATTCCATTTATTTAAAAGAAAAATGTGAAGTAGCATTTAGATCTATATATCTTGATTGTGGTCTTGTTAGATTGGTAAATACTGTATTTAAGAAGGGCAGAGTTTAGTCTTGCCCTTCCCTTCTGTCATTGCAAATGTTTACAGATTTCCACATTTTCCCAATTAATCATCTTGTATCTTGGGACCAAACCATATGTACACACTTATTTTGCTTTTCCATCTGGAGAATGATCTAATCTAATCATGGAGAATTATCAATTGTTTTCAGTTATTTTTTCCTCCATCCCCAACCCCTATAAATAGCCCTTACAGCAAGATACAAATGTTCACTTTGTATTTCATCTTTTGGAAACAAGTGCATTATTTTCAAATCCCCAGGGACATGCTGCTATGCAAAATAGTGACGTAAATAGTTCCTACTGCAGTAGCAATCTTGTGATCACATCAGGAAAAAAATACAACAGGTTGAAAATCTCTAGAGTGAGGTGGAGTGCTGCTATTTTTAGCTACATCTGCTCTGCTTTGAAATCGTGTGGTCAGAGTTTTAGCAGAGAAATCTTATCAATGAGCATTATTTCTAGATCGCATCTCTTTATAAAAGCTCGTAGGTTTTTTATTGCTAGTAAAAATAATCCAAGATTTTAAGGGATATTGACAAAGATGAACCACCATACTTTATTAATCCATGTTATCAGTAGTATATTAATAGAATAACACACATAATAGAATCCAGAGCAATGCTGGTGAATGCCTAGAAAGGAGATTCATTGAATCTTCTTGGTGAAGGTTGCAGTGCTTGGATTAGGAGATAGCTAAAACATAAATCACTTGATAACGTATGCTCTGCCCACAAAAGTATTACAAGAGCTTGTTAATTTACTAGAATAGCAGGAGCAAATAACATAGTGCACTTGAAGAATCTTAATATCCAAATTCAGCTAGAGTATGAAATAGTTGATTAACCTATATAATAGAGGGTGGGGGGAGAGGAGGACTCTTAGCAGCCTTTCTCTTAGCAGCCTTTTCTCTGGGATGATCTGCCCCCAACTTGATCTTCCATTGCCACTATCTTTGAGCCAGCCATATGTTTTCCTAGTGCTTGTACCTAGGCATGACATTCAACTTTATAATGGAACAAACTACAAAAGTCAAGTAAGTTAACCACAGCTGTCCAGGTTTCTTATCTCCAGTTATTAAAATATATAAGGCCAAAGTTGCCTCCGTTCTCTTATATGGAGCAAAGATTTGGGGCTTAAAATATATATGACCACTAGAATAAGCACAGCATCTAAGAATTATTTTGGTGTGGATAAAAGGAATTCAGTTGCTGCAGTCAGAGCTAAATGGGGGAATTTATACAATTTGTTCTTTGTCTAATCAGGGCATAAAATTACTGGTGCAAAATTAATACTATAGAAAGTGATAGATTTCCAAAATTGTGTTTGTTGGAACAGACAAAATTTTAATTCAAGATCTCTTGGATTGTACAACTGACAAATTACATTAGGAACTATAGTCTCCCTATCTCTTGTATAATTGGAAAACTAGCTAAAAAGATCGTTGCACAAAGAATCTTGGCTATAAAGACATAGCCATTTTCAATAAGATTGGCACATTGAAATGGATGAGACACTACAAACATACCTTCCAAATTACCTCATTATTTAAACTCAAATGCATAAACATCTTTGGACAGTATTTATTCAAGGAAGATTTGTACAACTGGACACATCCCTATTGGATCCTTATATTAAAAAGAACATATTTCATATGTGGTCAGCATTCAAAAATTGCATATCATATGGCATATCATTTATTTGAACAAAACAGTTCAGTTGAGATCTACATATCTGATTTGGAATAAATTGTAGGGGTGTTACAGAGATATAATTTGCACTCTTTATTCTTTTTCTATTCAATTTGCTTCTTTTACTCTTGTTATCTATGGTCTTATTAATTAATTCTTGTTATCTATGGTCTTATTAATCTGTGTTTTATATTCTATATTTTTATATTTCCTAATGGCTAGTCCATAATAATATTGCTACTGCTATTTTGTGTGGTGTAGAGTGTTATTGCTGTTGCTTTCGGGTAAAAAATATTAGGAAACAACTTTCAACTGTCAAATGATTATTTTGGTCCCAGGTTTTTATTATATGTTCCCAGCTTTATTGCTATTAAGTAAGGAATAAAACTATGAAATATATTTTTCCATTCATAGTTATTTATCCTGGAAAATATCTGATCCAATAGGTAAGGTAGGTTGCTTAAAACTAGTTAGTGATGAATGGCTAGACAAGAATAATTGTAAATGACTATTAAATAAGTAACCTATTAGACCTTCAAGAGAAGAGGCTTGGTGTACTGCAGAATAAAAACTTTTTTTAAAAAAATCTTTTCTTTATTGCAAAATAAGAAACTTTAAATTTCTTGAAACCCTTTAAATTAAAATGAGCAAACACAATCTGATAAAAGGTTCATTGCAATGTTATATTTCAAAACCTTGGCTGTTTTACCTTTCACCTTATTGTATAATAGTAATGAGACACAGCACTCAATGTCTATGTGTTCTTTATTTCAGAGGACAAATTCAAAGTGGAAACAAAAACAATTGCTGCTGACTTTGAAAACCGAGAAACTATTTACAACAAAATAAAAGCAGGCTTGGAAGGCCTTGACATTGGTATCTTAGGTTTGTATCTTACATTCAGTTTCTTTGGGGTTTTTTGAAGAGGGTGGGAGGAAACCATAACCTTGCAAAGGCTGATAAAATTCATTTTTAAATTGTATTCTCTGTGGAACAAAGCTTGATATCTTGAACACACAAAAAAATAGAGCATTCCTTTTAAAGATAATGATGTTATCCGTTCAGTCATGTCTGACTCTCGGCGATTCTCTGCACCACGTCTCCATATTTTCTGATTTTGCACTGCTTCTTTGACTTGTTCTATGCTCTGGTGTTAGCTTTGATGGTGTCCAACCACCGTGTTCTTTGCTTCTCTTTATCGCTAACTCTTCCAAGCATACTTGCTTTCTCCAGGGAATTCCCCTGCATGATATGCCCGAAGTTTAATGTAATGTCAGTTACCCTGTATTTTTCTTACTTTACAGGTAGTTCTTGACTTACAATCACAATTGGTTGTAAGCCATTGTGGTTATGAAGTGGGTCACCATGTGACATGAAATAACTTTATGATGGCATCTTGTCTCTTCCAGGTGCAAATGTTAAATGGAGCTTGAGGGCCTTGGGGGTTGAGGGAGTTCCTAGGAGGCCTGGCACAGACTTTGTAAAAATTATGGGGGACGGGGGGACTGTAGTATGAGGCCAGGGAAAGAAGCCAGAAGAAGTCCATCTTGGCCCAGCAGTACAGCAAAAAGGGACCACACCCATGAAGCCTCCATAGTGGTGCACAGAAGCAGCTGACCTGTGGGATATGCCAAATGCCTGAGAGACTCCATTTTTTCCCAATCAATAATAATAGCTCTTATGAGGACATTCAAATAATATCTGTCCCATTCATCTTGTCATATTCTAGTTTTACCATAGAATTTTTCAAACTATGTACCATGGAACCCTAGGCTTTCATGAGAATTTGATGTGGTTCCATGTGAGACAAGAGACAAAAAAAAGAAAATGCAACCAATTTTCTATCACTAGATCTTTGTCTTTTGACCAGAAACTTTGGGATATTTATTTATTATTTTTATTAAGAATTTTGATTATAATCGTGAAAAATAATACAAAGTAAACTTAAAGGAAAGAGGATAGAGTTAAAATGTGCAAGGGAAAAGAAAAAAATATAACAAAAAAGAGGAAATAAATGTATAAAGAAGCGAGTTCCAAGCTTCATCACAAAAGTATAAACTAATTTAGTAAGTCTTCATCTTCTTTAAAGGTACAAACATTTATCTCTTCATCCCCATCTTTTATCTGTAAGCAAATCCATAAAACATCACATTATTATTTATCCAACAAGTTCCATGGAGTGGAAAAAAAATCGTACAGTGTTTCATTTTCCCAGTCTACCATCTACTCACATCACATGTCCAAAAGATGTACACTTTTGCTTGCTGGCCACCTGCTCAAGGGTGCAGCCTTTATTAATCTATGACTAGTTAATTTCTTCTTCCTGAGGTTCATGGTACTTTTAGCAATTGTCTCTAAGTCCATAATTTATGGGCCTCTGTCTTTCTTTTTATCAGTGACCAGTTTTCTCATCCATATAGCTACCACGAACTATTTTTGTCATTTCAATACCCTCATTCTTCATGGTATTGTTGAATTTTGTCATTGCCTTCTAGAGGAGTAATCTCTTTACTGCTTCAGCATACTGTTTATCTGTATTCTTGAGCCCAAGAAAACATAACTAAGTGATACCAAGGGGGGGGGGGGTTCTTTTTTTGTGAAAAAGGATTCATTTAAAGTAAGTGGTAATTCCAATAACCAAAGATACTTCATAAAAATGTAAATTGAAATTATGTTTTATTTAATTGGTGATGACTAGAATATCACAGATTTGAAGTATGTGTATGTGGGGGGAATGAAGTGGGTGAAAAAAATTCAAAACACTTAAATATTTAATTAATCTGTAAAAAATTGACCTTTTAGAAACATGGAAACAAAACAGAAAACATCTTTAAAGCAAGATTTGTGGCCAAAAGAAAATGCTTAATGTAACAAAATTGTTCTTAAGGATACTATTTTGCATTATTCTTCTATTTCTGTCTTTTTTGTTTTCCTCACTCTACTCAAATATTTTTTATTGAGAGATTTCAAAGATTATGTACATGTGTGGGTTTATACTGCCATCTAATGTTCTATAGTCTGATTCAGTCTCAGTTGAAGAGTATCATTTATTCTTAGACATCATGAATACTCTTAATAAGGATATAAATTATATTGATATATAACTCATACTAGCAATTTGGCATAGTAGAGCAAATAAGCACAGTAGTTTTACAGTATCTGTTGTGAAATAATTCAACTGATTAGAGAGAGAATTTTAAGAAAATCTTAACTCCTGATGACCACCTGGAGAAATTCATGTAGATTTTTTGGCAGGATTTTCTGAAGAATGCTGCCATTGCTTTATTCCTAGAACAGAGAGAATGAGTGCCCAAAGTTACCCAGCTGGCTTCAGGCCTAAGGCAGGACTGCACTGAATTCTTTTTTACAGAGTCTACTTATCACAGAATTATTTGTTAATTAGACATTTATCCAAAGTTCTATTTATCCATAGAACTGAGTTTTATTGACAAAAATGGCAGTACTTATATGTTTAAGATTCATAATTTTATGAATTACCTGAAAAATACAAATTCAGTTGTATAGTGCCGTGTAATTATGTTGAATGTTCAACTACATATTAACTAACATGTCTGCTAGAATGTTGATATTTTCATTGTTTTTAAAGTTCAATCTCTTGGACTGCTGTATGTCACTTAAACTATAGTAAGTAGATTGTATTGACATATAAAGTTCTTCATCGTAAGAACTGCTGTATCCTTACATTGTTTAGCTGGTGACATTTTCTTAGCTATATGTACCAATCATAAATACATAAGTTAGAATTTGCATTATTTTAAAATTATGCTTTTCATTGACATGGTCCAAACTTAACTTAGTCCAGTGAATATGCATAATGGAACAGAAAACTTGCTATAGCTAAACTGAAAAGCTGTATTTTAATCTGTTATTTAATTTATAATATAAATTATAGTCGGATCCAAATTGGTAGGCCAGGATTAAACTGTGAATTTAGATTGTAATTGATGAGTTGAAATTTAAACAGATTAAAACAGATATAGTGAAATCATGATAAATTAAGTCCTGTTGATTTCAGCAGCAAAATTCACACATCAAACAAAATGATTGAGCTATATGGCTTAGCTTAACATATGAATCATTTTGTTATAGCGTAGTGCTATGTGCGATTCAGGCCATTATAACTTGTTAAATTAACCATAGTAGACAATCCTGGGAATCTGTTGTAAGTATAGCTAAGTCTGGATCCAACCAAATTAGCTTTTCTGGTGCTTTATGATTTTAATAGAAAGGACACTATTGACAGTCTTTTTGTTTCTGTGCCTTGATTAATAACATGTTAAGAAACTTTAATACATGCATAATCTCAGTCATTGATGCCTAGAGGAAGTAGGGATGTCTGTGACATGCCACTTAACTATTTTCTAAACACAGTGCTAAAAACTTAATTTTAGAATATTCAAGGTGTATATTTTAAAATTATGTATGTTTCAGTAAACAACGTGGGCGCTTCATATGATTATCCTGAATATTTCCTTGAGATTCCAGATTTAGACAGAGTAAGTATTCTTTTCCTCCCACACCTGTCTTTTAAATTTAATATTTAATACTAAATTCAAATATTTGTAAGTGCGACACTGGTTTTATTTGATTTGTTAATAGGATCATAATTGCAAAAGTATAAATAAGAACTTATGAGCACCTCCCCTCCCCATATTTAGAAACAGTCCTATGAACAATTCATTAAATTCAAATTAAAATGTATAATGATTAATCCTAATCCAAGGAATCAGGATATTTCACATCTTCACATCTTCACACCTTCAATTCATTCATTAAAATCCCTAACAGTAAGTGCATCAGCCTTGTTTGAATTAATGTTGCATTTATATCTTTGTCTCTCAGTTTTGTAGAAATCTTTATTTTGGTTTTGTTTGACATGCAAGAAAAATAATAATTGAGGCTACTATACTGGACATAAAAAGCAAGAATTACTTTGTGTTTAACATATCCTGATTGTCTGAGCTGCACTTTAACTTGGTAAACTACATAAAATATGTATTATAAACAAGCTTAAGCAATACCACATAAAACATTAAAATGAGGTACTTAAATTAATTACAATATACTTTATATTAACTACATAGCACTGGCACTTACACTTATATACTGCTTCACAGTGCTTTACAGCCCTCTCTAAGCTTATAGATTTATAGAAACAGCATATTGCCGCCAACAGTCTAGGTCCTTATTTTAGCAACCTCGGAAAGGTGGAAGGCTGAGTCCTTCAGAATCAAGCTCCTGGAGTGAGCAGTGAGTTAACCTGCAGTACTGCATTCTAACCACTGCACCACCACAGCTATGTGGAAATCTGTGATGATAAAAATTCCACCCCAGCTCACAAAACAACACCTAAAGAAAATACTGATTTATTGCTTACTTATGTTCAGTTGATTTATATCACATTTCACACAAGGATTCAAGATGAGAAAGTAGATTATTATGTAGGAATTCTTTAAGCTGCATTGAAAAGCAAGATGGAAAAAATCAATAGATAGTTGTATTTGCTCTTTGATGGTAGAAATACATAACTTGGACCCAAAAAAATATAGAGATATTTGCTGTTTCAAATTGTGAAACTGCTTTTCTTTCGGTCTTTACCGTACCTACCTTTTATATCTTCTTTTGCTCTACTGATTCCTCAACTACCTTCTCTGGAGTTTTGGTTTAAAAAGATTCTGTCCCTCAGTACACTCAGAACTTGCATTTGCAACCTTTCTCCCATCAAGACTCATTCTTGACTCCTCAATGAATGAGTGAATGTATTCATTTAAAACATTTTATAGAGGCCCATCTTGACTGAAACTCTGAACAGCTTACAACCCAGAAATAAAACAATATCTATCTGCAATAAAATAAAAACATTGAAAACAAATAGTACTAGATTTTCAGTTCAAAACGGGCACATTTGACATATGAATGTAATTTGGGGAAATGGCAAGGGGAAAGAGTATCATTTGAACCACATTTTCATTCCCAATGTTGAGTGGATAAGCCTGAACCCAGTGCATTCTAATGCTGCATTTCAATGAAGTCCAGTCTTAAATCTCCTTTCTGGCACTTTATGATGTTTTAGAAAAGAAGAGAAGCATCAATAATTTATATCTATGTCATGTGTATGCTTATAATTTATACACATGTATTTGTTATCAAAACACAACCAATCTGCAATTAGATTCAATCCTGTTGCAGTATCTTGCAGAATGAAAGATCGTGAGGTGGGAAAGTTTTAATTTTACCATTTGCTCCACATGGCTGTGCTCCATTTTTTTCATAATAACTCATCCTAAGTGGCTATCTGATAATTTTTTATTTTTTTCACTTCAGTCTGTCATCTGGTCTGAACATTAGTTTAATTCAGAGATTCTGGAGCCATAATTTGTAGTTTTCAAAACACTATATTTAGCAAAGTTAAAGAAGTGAATTAATACCTTATATTTTCATATCAGTCTCAACAATCATGTTCTCTGCACTTAAAGAAGGGATATAAAAGCCCTCTGACTGTAGTTATCATTGTAGAGATTATATCCATTAAATTTTCAAGACAATTTGACCTAAAATGATAATTTTAAGGCAGGTTTGAGACAATACATTGATAAAGCCTGATTGGATAAATTCTGTCAAGAAAAGTGCATTAAATTTCTGATTGTCCAATATTGTAACTTTGGATTCTGGATCCAAAAATCAAATCAGATCAATAAATGACAAAATCCCAATTGGGCTCCAAAGTTTGTTCAGATAATTTCTACATAGCATATGCTCTAGTCATACTGCAAACTTTTAAATCAAGAGTTCATAATATGCTGTTATGCTTTCCCTTCATTACAGCAAATTGACAGGATCATAAATGTTAATGCCCTATCTATGTGCAAGGTAAGTGCCATTTTTGGGAAGTTGTGCTAATGCAGGAGAATTGACTATTTTGCATATAGAGTAATAAAAGTATTTGTCTAAAACAATTTCTGTGCAATTTCATCTCTGTAAAGCAGGTGCAATTATACAGGCTTCTTTGTTGAGTTTCTCCATAAATCCATTTTGTCTGGCAGCCTCTAGAAGTGTTTCTACATATGTTTACTAGTATAACATTTTCCTGGAGAAGAAAAAGTAAAAGGTACTCAAAGTTATTCATATCTAAGCCTGTCAAGCCATTTTTGGTATTATTATTTTTTTAGAAAAATATTTTCTTACACTAAAACAGGGGTGTCAAACTCAGTTTCATTGAGGGCTGCATCAGGGCTGTGGTTGACGCTGGGGGGGGTCATGCCCAACTGGGTTGGCATGGCCAGCTTGACACCACTTCCCAAACTGCTGGCATATTTCCTCTTTTCATTGGGTAGACTGGGCCAAAGCCACACTGGCCCAATGTTTCCTCTTTGCATTCAGTAGACCGGGCTGTAATGACACAGACTGGCCCCTTATGTTTTCCAGGGTGGCTTCATGGGCCAGATCTGTCCACATTGCGGGCCATCTCTGGCAGCCTTGTGTTTGACACCCCTGCTCTAGAATAGAGGTATATAGAAAGTATCAATATCAGAAATATAGATAGTCCTCAACTTATGATCACAATTGAGCCAACAACCAATATGATTTTTTAAAATGGTTAACAATGAAATGTCACAGAAAATTTTGCATTGTTATCTTTTCTGGTGTTCTTTGTCAAACTCTGTATTAGGGGAACAGGTGGCAAAAGAAGCCCAATATTAGGGCAGATGCTGTGGCCATAAAACTTTCAATTTGAATTAGATTCAAAATGAAAATTGTAGATTGGGTCATGTTCTCATAATGGTGGTTGTACTGTAAAAAACAGTAGCTTATATGTTTTGGTAAAATACATTCTTTTTTAATGGTAACTGCTATAGTACAGTTGATATATTAAAAGATAAATTACATTTCTCATAACTTTGGCCGGAGAACCATTTCTTCTGATATTAAGATATTTATTTCAAAAATAAGAAAACTAAATTCTTTTAGAATTATTTTTTAATATTAAAAGCTTGCTTTTCTAAATTATTTACTTACTTATCTAGGAACATTTATATGGTTGCCAACTTACTCAGTGATTACAAAATAATGGAAATTTTTATCTTTAAAAATCATAAAGCAAAAGCTTTTGATTTCTTTGTGTGATCAAACAGCTTGGAAAATATTGTTCATTTCTTTGCCTTCTTTTTCTCTTAAGATGGAATTGATTATGAGAAGTGCCTCATACAACCTCCCACTTAATCATGGTGGCTGAGACGTATGGAATTGTAATCCATGATCAGTTGACTTTTGCTTCATATTTTTATAAGTCAGGAGTGTCAAACTTGCAGCCTGCGGGCTGGATGCATCACACACTGGCCATCTCCACCCCCATTTTAGCGAAGGGAAAGTTGCAATACATCACATGACAAAAACATGATGCTGAGATTTTGACACCCCTGTTATAAGTGGTCTAGACTGCCATTGCTGATACCTCTCATACAATTGCATTGTTTAACCACTTTTGCTTTCCTTGCAAAATATTAATTAAATTTGATCTCTTGCACTGTCTAGCATCGGCACTAGATATTTGAGAAAATTCACCTGTGTAACATACAGAAGTTCTGAAACCATTCTGTAATCATGCAAAATCAGACAGACTGATTAAATTGTTCATAAGTGCAGCTTATCTGAGTTGCTCAACATGTTTTATCAGAGAACCAAACTTCATAAGTAATATAAAAATACACTGCCTTACAAATGATGGCCTTCAAATTCTATAATTTTTTGAGGTGAAGAGAGGTCAGCTGTTTTGTGAGAGGGCTTTCCTCAGTCTGTTTTCTGCATATTACTCAATCGTTTTCTTATTTTTCTTTCAGATGACACAATTGGTGCTTCCTCACATGGTAGAAAAGTGAGTCACATCAACACATCCAGACAGCCATTATTATTTATAGGGGAAAATCCTTTCTTTGAAAAATTCATTACTATGACTAAATCAGTCAGGCCTCCATGTTTTATTGGCAGTGTAATGCTGTGTGAGTCATGGGATTGGGTGCATGAATCATCAGACTGTGAAAGCCTATCTTTATTTGATTCCCTTTTTTGTTTTATTTTCACTGTTTGGTGAATTCTTTTTAAAATGGAATTAAAAAGCCTGTATGACTCATCAGTGAGAACTCAATAACAAGCTACTCTGTGTGGGTGGCTATGTTTCTGGGATGTTCCTGGGAATAACCTTAAAGCCATTCCTGAGTATCACTGGAAGAAAAAAAAAAAGAGAACAAGCTTTACTTATATGGCAGGCACAGAAAATTGGTGCACAAAGCAAAAGACTCAGGAATAATAGGGGGCTAAGAGTTGACAACCTTTCAGTATTAGTTTAGATTGTACTTTTGGAATTTTTCCATTTGTGCCGTTGTTACATGAGGTAGATAATTTTTCTGAAAATTAAAAATTATTGCTTGCTTAGTTCCTTCCAGTTATATTCCCCCACAATGGATACAGAAAACCATTCTATCACAAGTATCTCTTTCCTTCATCCAGCTTGATATATTTCTTTTTGAACCACGGTATTTGGTTCTGCATTAAAGTGTCTTCTGCTGCCTGCAGATTCTTTCCTCCTTGCCTAAGTAGTTCCATTTTTCTATCTGGGCTCATTTGTAAAGTCTCTTCGTGGTTGAAGAAAGCCAAAATACTTAGAAATTTTGGCTATTAAAAACATGTTTCCTTCTTGACTGTTTAAAGGATTTTTTGATTGAGCAAGCTCTTTGGTTTCACATCTTACTGAAATTAAAGTTGGTACTGAAGTCTTCTTTTTTGTGTAGTCTCTTGGATTTGATAAGTGAGACAAAGAATATGTCTTCCCCATATTAGTGTCACAGTTTTGGAATTCTTCTGAGTTGAACTTTGTCACATTCTCGGGACTAAGCTTCCCATTTAGTTTTTCATATTTACTATTTCATTGATAGCTTTGCATAATGTGTAATCCATTCACCTGTACAAGAATCATTGTCAGAATCTTCCAGTAGCTCAGATTTGGGTGAAAGGCATTCTCTATTCTGCTTGTTGCAAGCTGGTTGGGAAGAATTCAAATGACAATTATATGACCATGTGACACTGTGATGGTTGTACATTAAATGCTTGCTAGTGGTGAAGTGCCTGAATTATAAACTTGTGACCACAGGATATTGCGAGTCATAATTGCAAGGATTGGTCACAATCATGGGGTTTTTTCCTGAACTGTTATAATTTTTAACAGTCATTAAACAAGGCAGTAAGTGAGGAGCATTGTATGTGTATGAGAAACCACCAAGAAATCTTAGGTTTGTACCCTAGGCTGGGAATTTATTTTTTAAAGTAAATTTTTTAAAAAGAACAGCCAGGAAGAAGTAGTAATACATTGTCGCCCTGAAAACTACATGGCTATTCTAGGCAGTCACTAGGAGTCAAGTGCAAGGGTTTTTTTTTAATGCAAATACTTATGGGTGTTATAGTTAACATTTATATATTTTAGGCTTCTGTTTTGTTTCAACAAATTTATAATTTATATTCTGTCTGTCTTTCAGGTCCAAGGGAATCATAATTAATATCACTTCTATGAGTGCATGTGCAGCAATTCCATTTGTAACTCTTTATTCAGCAAGCAAGGTACATATATGGGAAAAACATAGTGTGTGTAATTTGTTTTCATTTTTCAACTGAACTGCTTATTGGCAAATGCAATATTTGCAATAGTCTTTTTAAAGAGGATAATGTTTTCCTTATTTCATGAAAGTGAATACAGAGACCTTGTAATTAGTCTCTTTAATTCAGATTTTAAAATGAAATGTACCTATAACTTTATTGGTATGGGACAGTCTTCTATTAAAAATATAGTTGCCTCCTTCAGCTTTGTGCAAGGAATCTGAATTTAGTTTGGTTCAAATGTCACTGTTTTAAGGAAGTATTTTCACGTGAGCACAATTCTTAAAACCTTCCAATTGTTTTTATGAATATATACATTTTGATTCACATTAAGTACATAGTTTTTACTATTTGTAGCCAATTATGGTTCCCAAAGCCTAGTTTCTTTCAAATAATCATAGCAAAGGTTAATAATAAATTACACTTCAGGCAATACCCTAAACTGCAGTTTTTCTCAAACCAACATCCCTGCTCTTCTGGCAGCAACATTAGAGGAATGAGGAGGGAACATCTGAGTATAGTATACTAATTATATAAACATTCTTAGTCATGAAATCTCATTGGCTAACGCTGGCTCAGTCATATTGTGTCTGTCAAAACTACTATTTCCCAGGATTATTGCAAGATAAATATTGGAGGAGGGAATGCTTTGTTTTTTAACTGATATTATATTTAACTGTGTGTGTGTGTGTGTGTGTGTATGTATGTATGTATGTATGTGTGTGTGTGTAAACTGCTTAAAAATATAAATCAAAGTATAAAATGATTAAGTAGCATTAAATAATAAATGTAACTAACAAATGTGAAAAAAACACAAAAATACTTCACTAAGCTTACAAAATATAAATGAAATATATTTTATATATTTAATTTCTGGCTTTGCGGATTGGGGGGCAGGGGCGAAGAGGGGATGGTTCCACACGAGCAGCGGGCATGCACACCTGCATGCACAATTAGAGCATGTATGCATACGCTCACCCATTGCTCACACAAGTGGAGATGTGCGTACTCGCCTACCATTTCCGCAGCCTGATTCCAGATGGCTCAAGGCCTGGTAGTGGGCCAGGGGTTGGAGACTTGCTCTATAATAAAAAGATAGCCAACCAACCCTTGTTAAAAGCTGAGGTGACAAGAACACTTGAAAAAAGTTTCTAAGAGACATATTTAATATTTTGCATAAACCTGTGGTTTTATGCAAAATTGGTCTTGATTGGTACCAACCATGCTAGCTGCTCTAGACTTTGAGGAGTGCTATATAGATGTAAGAACTGAGGGAAAAAAAGGAAACTAGTAGAAAGTTCAAACATACAAAGTGAAGCAAAGTCACTGCTAAAATGTGAGTGTCACACCCAAAAAACTCCTATGTGACTGGACGGTTGAACATTCAAAGCAGTTCCTCATAATCTAGAGTAATGTAGCATAAATACAATCTTGAGTTTTATGACTTTTTTGGAATATATCTTCCTGTTCTGTTTAAGGTATATGAACAATATACTATAGTTTATGAATGTGTTTAGCTGATCATACAATACAAATTACACAACTTATATTACCACTTTAATAATTTAATACCACTTTATAATACCTTGGTAAGGCCACACTTGAAATACTGCATCTAATTTTGGTCACCATAATGTAAAAACGATGTTGAGACTCTAGAAAAAGTGCAGAGAACAGAAGTAAAATTTATTAGGGGGCTGGAGGCCAAAACATAAAGAGCAGTTGCTGGAATTGGGTATGTCTAGTTTAATGAAAAGAAGGACTAGGGGAAACATGATAGCAGTGTTCCAATATCTCAGGGGTTTTCACAAAGAAGATGCAGTCAAGGTATTCTCCAAAGCACCTGATGGCAGGACAAGAAGCAATGAGTGTAAACTAATCAAGGAGAGAAGCAACTTAGAACTAAGGAGAAATTTCTGGACAGTTAATGCAACCAGAGGAACAACTTTCCTCCAGAAGTTGTGAATGCTCCAACACTGGAAGTTTTTAAGAAGAGATAGGACAACTATTTGTCTGAAATGGTATAGGGTTTCCTGCCTAAGCAGCGGGTTGGACTTGAAGACCTCCAAGGTCCCTTCCAACCCTGCTATTCTATTCTATTGCAAATATTACATTTCCTTACAGTGTACAAAATTCCTAGCCTGGAATGCTATTTTCCACACTACATGGTTTACAATTAATGGCAAGGTATATAAAAGTTACAGTGTATGATTTATTTGCAGTTTCATATTGTGTATTCCTACCATTATATTTCTTTACATATATTTAGTGTTTTGGAGACTTCTTTTCTCAAGCCCTCAGCTTGGAATACAAAGAAAAAGGTGTCCTCGTGCAGGTTAGTGTGATTGATCTGTTTTGATACTGTATGTTTAATTAATCTGATAATATGGAATGCTAGAGATTAAAATACACTCAAATTATTCCTTCTCTGAAATACAATTGTGGATACCATTGCCAAAAATAAAGTAGTAGGCAATTCCTTGAATCAAAATATTTTCATTATAGTGCTGACTTAGCTTTATTCTGCTAATTATCTGGCTGAAACAGAGCTTTTAGTTAATTTGGAGTTTTTATTTACTTGCTTTTACTGCAAGAGTTCTGTGACCATTTTTTAGTGTTAGCATTATACCCTCACATGTTATGTAGCATATTGGGTTTTGGATGAGTACCTCAGAATCTTTCCACATGAAGTTTAGAGTGTTTAAGTCTTCCATGAACATTCTTTGCCATGTATTTTAAGGGCATCTTCTTGGTTGTTCGACAAAAGGAGAGTCCTGATCATTGCCATCTTGAGGATTCAACCATTCTCCACTTTCTTTTTTTTAATTAAGAATTTTTATTTTTAAACAAACATACACACTATAGCAGTTTCTATGTTTAAATTGTTTTGTAGCACATGTCTGTTGTAGATATTAAATAAGACTTTAAGACAATATATAGGTACAAACCGATAGATATAAATTTAATAAAATGTTCTTTCCTTTTCAGACTGTTCAACCATATTTTGTCATGACAAAAATGTCTAAACTTCGTAGAGCAAACATATATAGACCCACTCCTGAACAATTTGTAAAATATTCCCTCAATACACTTGGTCAGGAAACAGTAACTTGTGGATATCCATCTCATGCTTTTGTGGTATGTATATTTAAAGATTAGAATTTTCAAGTGTGTCTATAACTTGTTTTCATTTATCAATCCATTAATACTTTGGTCTTTAATAACTTAGTAACACATCTTCTTCTGCTTCTGTTTCTTAGAAATGGTTTGCAGCAAATTTCATGCCTGCTTGGTATATCAAAAAAAGCATCAGAGATACTTCCTTAAAATCAAGAGCTTACTATTTAAAGAAACTAAAGGAAAACTAAGCTACATTATATACTACACTGGAACCATTCAATTAAGATGTTTTGTGTTATATAATTATTAAACAATATTTTCAATTAATAGTTTTACTGAAGTGCATTAGTAGTGTTTCAGATATGTTCATTTTCATTTCAGTTGAAATATAACAATTTGGAATTTGTAACCACTACCAATAATAATGTCATATTACTTCTGTATTTTAAACTAAAAATCTCTTGCTATTTCCTCAATTTTGACATTTCAAGAAATATCCTTTATTGAAATTGAGATTGTAAAAATTACAAGATTGGCAAACTGTAGGATCTATCTCGTTAACATGATTGTGAATGTTCATTATCTGATAGCTTCAGGCATCACAATTCTTTATTTCTTACAAAGCTTAAGAATTACAGCTAAATATAACGCTGGCACTAACTTCATATGTTCACAATGTTTGTTTTTTATTAATCACAGTACTGTAAGTAAAATTGTACTTTGTGTGAACTGTCATATAAAATGTTGAAAAATATTTGCAACAGGAGACAGATTTTAATTACCTGGATCTTCTCTTAATATAAATGTTGGTTGGGACCAGGAAGTGCTTGTAAGATTTCATCTCTATAATGAGGTGGGGCAGCTCTTTGAGTGATATGAGATGTATTATAGAAGGCTACAACACAAAGGATAATGAGAGAAAGAAGATAAGCATCTCTGGACAGCCTGTCTTCTTGCATAGTAATTCTTGCCTCCAGAAGTAAAAGAAGTCATTCCAAATATTGAGAATACATTTAACAAGGATTTCTTATTCCTTCATTGTAACTTATTGAAATGAAAAATTGCCTTCTTAAGACTTGTCATTTTATCTATCTTTACATTAAAATTAAGATTTGGATTTTTATTTCCTTAAATCTTATTATTTGTACCTTTGGAACAAATAAAATGAAAATGCTTCAATATGTTATAGGCTTCCTTTTCTGAGTTTGGCAAGTATATTCAGTGGAGATTCATGGTAGCTCAACCTTTGCCTGACTGGGGAAAGGAAAAAGTGCACACTACCATTCCATTTGCTTTGCTTTATTGGGGGCAGTGGTCTTTATCGGTAGGCATACAAATAAATAACCATTTCTGCAAATTAATTTCAGCGTGTTTTACAGATGCTAGAGACCTTATAACTAAATTCTATTGTCCTTTGAAGAATAACTTAAGACTGACATAAAAGTAAAAAAGAGATGCACCTGGTGGGACCTAGAAGAAGGGCCTTCCCTGTGGTGCCTCCATCTCTTTGGAACGTCATTCCCCCAGAGATTAACAATGGGGGCAATCCATTGTTAATACTATTCCAAAAGGCACTGAAGACCTGGTTTTGTCAGCAGGCCTGGGGAACCCAGAGAGGGTTGGAACCCATCAGATGGCTAGTGTGACCCGCTGTTGTCAGTGGGGGGAGTTGGTTTTTGTTTTGTTTTGTTTTTCCCAAATTTTGTTCTATTGTACTTTACTAATTTGTTTGATTCTTTTTGTTAGTTCTTATTGTTTTTGTTTTTATTCTTTATTTTAAATATGATTTTACACTGTGTAAGCTGCCTTGAGTCGCCATGGGCAAATAGGAGGCAATATAAATCAAATAAATATGTGTTTAAACGTTATTGTACCTAGAAAATAAAGAAAAACTGATGCAATGATGCATAGGAATCAGAAACTGGTTTTGTCCAAAATGGCTGTATTTTTTACTGGAAAATTATTGGACACATTATGGCAACTTACAGAGTATGTGGAAGTATGCAAAATATCTGCTGGTATGCCTATATAATAATATATATTTAGAATGAAATCTGTAACATTTTCTGATTAAAATAAAATTCTTTGAAGGATTTTGTTATTAGATTACACACACACACACACACACAGCAGTGGTGGTATTCAGCCGGTTTGCACCGGTTTGGGAGAACCAGTAGCAACAATTTTGCCTCGGTCGCCAAACCGGTAGTGGCCAAGCCCCTGACCCGGTCACCGCTTGCTCACCTCTTCCGGCTGCTCAATGCTCACCCCTTCTGGCTGCTCAATGCTTACCCTGCCCACCCCCACCTATATATATGTTGCCTTCGCCATGTGGCTCAACTAATTGCCTCACCAGCTGCCTTGCTGATGCCTGGCAAGCATCACCAGAGATAAGCAATTCATGCTGCCCGCTCACCCTTCACTTTGGTTTGGGGGCTGGGGCCTTGGCTGGGTCGGGGAACGTGAAATTTCCCGGCTCTGGCCTTGCCCCGGAGCCTCCGTCCACTCGCCAACCGCTCTCCCTTAAGTGCAACATGTCACCCAGTTTCCCCTCCTTTGGAGGTCCTGGCCCTTAATTTTGCTTCCTCCCCTACAACTGTCTCTTGTTGTCTGTGGCTGTGACTTTACCTTCCTCCCACAGCTGGCTGCCAGGGAAGGCAAGCCAAGGCTGAGAGCCGCTGGGCTCTTTGCCAGCCTGCATCATGCCCCCCTTGTCGCGAAATGCCTGAAACGGCTGCCTCTTTTTTTCTGTGTGAGAAGCCTCCCAGCTGATGCCTCTTTGTCAGCCAGAACCGAGCCGGCTGGCTGGAGGCTTTTTGCACTGAAAATAAAGAGGCAGCGGCTGCAAGCTTTTTGCACTGAAAACTACCAGCATCCACTTTTCGAACGCGCCAAAAAAGAGCTTCAGTCCCGCTGCCATTGCTGTCCAGTTCTTCACACCGACCATGCATGCATACACCATTGCCTGCTGCATGGGAGGGACTTGCCTGGGCAAGTACCTCCGCTTTGGCCCAGCAGGCAATGGGTTGCACCCCGGCGCAAAGAACATGGTGAGTCCCAGCTGCTTCTGCTTTGCCAACTGAAACTGAGCTGGTCGCACACACACCATCTCTCAGAAAGTCCTGGGACTTCACATGTGCACATGTAAGGCTGGGACCTTCTGCAAGGAGACAGCACATGGGTAAATCCCTCCGCTGCCGTGAGATGCATTGCACACACTCTGTGTATGCTCAAGAAAGGAGAAGACTTGGGTGAACTTTTCGGCCTCCCTTTGCTCCGCTGCTGCTCAGAAGGCAGCCGCCCCAGCCTGTCCCTTTAAGGTATTTCGATGCAGGGGGGGGACCAAAAAGGGACAGGCAGGGCGCAGGAGCTGCCTTTTGACTCCTATGTCTTGTCCCCCCCACCCGCCACCACTAAGAAGCCTCTAGCCACCACCTCTGCTAGCAGGAGAATTCTCCAGCTGCTGCTTCCGGCTCGGGGTAAGAAGTGCTCCAAGAGGGAGGGTGGGTAGAATGTCCCAGGGTTGCTTGCTGTCTTCGTTCTTCTGCCGCCTGCTGCTCTGGAGCTCACCGGATCAGTTTGTTCCAGACCAGGTGTGTTTGTGTCACAAGAGAGAGTGGTGTATGTGTGTGTGTGTGAGATAGAGAGAGAGAGAGATGGAAGGAAGAAAAGGAAAGAAAAAAAGAAAGAAAAAGGAAGGGAGAGAAATAGGAAGGGAGCGAGTGGTGTGTTAGACAAGAAAAGAAAGGGAAGGAGCGAAAGAAAAAAAATAGGAAGAAAGAAAAGAGCAAGAAAGGAAGGGAGAGAAAGAAAAAGAATAGAAAGAAAAAAATAGAGAACTCTGCAATTTTTAATTGTTCCATTATTTATCATATATTAATATTTTACGCTACCCCTACACCTAGAATGATTTTACTGCCTTTCTTTTGCTCGGGTATTTTTTAGGGTTTACAATATTTGATCTCTATAGTCCAAAGCATAAATACATTTCTTTAACAGAGTTGAAAGGGACTTTGGAGGTCTTCTAGTCCAACCCCCTGCTCAAGCAGGAAAGCTGAGGATGCCAAACTCTGAGTAGAGCTCCTGGGAAAGGTGTCAGAATAACAAAATAAGACTTAGAAGGGACCTTGAGGGGAACCTAATACCAGGCATGTCCAAAGTCTGGACCAGGCGCCAGTTGCAGCCCATTTTCACATTTTGAGCAGTCTGCAGCCTCTTCTCTCCGGCTCAGCCTGTCACTCATCCCTGCCGGCCGCCGTTTTTCCCTTCACTGCACAGCTGTCCCCTGCTACCTCCTGCTCCACAGCCATCCTGCTCTGCAGAGCATCTCAGCCACCTAGGTCTGCAGAACATGCAGCAGCTCATCCAGTCCATCCAGCTGCTCTTCACCAGCTGCCTGAGCACCACCTTCAAGGCTGGTGGTTATATTTTACCAGGAGATGGCAGTAGACCTGAGTCAGCACTCTCGCCGTGTGACCTTTGTGACACAAGGCTTGTGTGCCTATTTCTAAAATGGCGACGGTAACTAAAAAAAGAAAAGTTGACAGTGAGGGCTGCCGCTTCCAGGACAAGTGGAAATTGGAGTATTTTTTTCACTGAAATACAACAATACTGTGTCTGCCTAATTTGCCAAGAGACTGGCTGTTTTCAAGGAATTCAATATCAAGAGGCACTACCAAACGAAACATGCTAACTACAACAAGCTAACTGGGAATGAACGTGGTGGAAAATTGAAGGAACTAGAAGCTGCTTTAACGGCACAGCAGCGCTTTTTCACAAGAGCCCATGAGTCAAATGAAAATGCCACAAAGGCAAGCTACAAGGTGGCAATGTTGATTGCCAAGCACTGCAAACCTTTTACTGAGGGTGAATTTATTAAAGACTGTGATGAAAATAGTGGAGAAAATTTGTCTTGAGAAGAAGCAAGAGTTTGCCAATGTTTGCCTGGCTGATAATATTATGGTACGGAGAACTGAAGACGTTTCATCTGATATTAAGAGACAGAGGCAAAAGGAGTGGGCTTTGACTTTTTCATTAGCCTGCAACGAAAGCACAGATGCATCTGACACCACTCAGTTATTGATTTTTTTGAGAGGAATGGACAATGACATGAACGTGAGTGAAGAGCTACTTGACCTCCAGAACCTTAAGGACCAAACAAGAGGAATAGATTTATTTGTTTCTGTTTGTTCCACCATAGATGACATGAAACTACAAGCGAAGTGGATTATCAAACCTGGTCTGTAATAAAGTCAGCAAAGAAGGAGGCAAAGCTATAAAACTCCACTGTATTGTTCACCAATAAGTTCTCTTTGTCAAACATCTGAAATACCATGTTATGAAACCGATGATGAAGGCTATTAATTATATTTGCACCAAAGCCCTGTGCCACCGCCAGTTTCAAAAATTTCTACTCGACATCCAGGCTGAATATGGAGGTGTTGTGTATCACAATGAGGTAAGATGGCTTAGTTGGGGGTCTGCACTGCAGTGCTTCTACTCTTAGGGAGGAAATTGGACAATTCTTGGCAAAAAAGGGACAACTGATACCGGTGCTATCTGATCCTGTTTGCCTGGCTGATTTTGGATTTTTAGTTGACATAACACAACATCTGAACGTGCTGAGCATGAGCCTTCAGGGGCAAAATAAGTAAAATAAACTAAGCCAACTGTATTCACATATCAAAGCCTTGATACTGCTTTGCTACTTTTCCAAAGACACCTGACACAAATGCAGCCCAATACCACACATTTCCCATCGCTGTAGGAAATAATGACCAGTTTTCCACAGAACAATATGAGTGCGCAAATGCAGACATCTCATCTCTGGCTGAGAAGTTTCAACAGCACTTTCGGGACTTTGCAGCTATTGAAAAGGAAATCACACTTTTTTCTTCTCCTTTCTCTGGACCCTGATGATGCTCCAGACCACCTGCAGCTGGAGCTCTTTGAGCTACAGTGTGACATTGAGTGTCACAGTCAGTACCAACAGCTCCCTCTTGTCAACTTTTACCACCAGCTGGATAAAGACAGGTTCCAAGAGATTCGAACATTTATTTATTTATTTGATTGATTGATTGATTGATTGATTGATTGATTGATTTATATTGCCACCCATGGCGACTCAAGGCGGCTTACACAGTGTAAAATCATATTTAAAACAAAAAATAA